TTGCAACTCCCAGCATCAGTGAGCTGCCAGCGTCAATGTCTGCGTGATGCTTCCTGCAAAGATGGTACATTGGCTAATGTGAGCTCTCTTCTGTGGGTTTCTCTGCGGATGCTAATTGGAATGCAATTTTTAAATTCTGTTGTAGATCATATCTTCTTCCTGTAACATGTATTGAGGCCTCTCTCTAAAGAGGTCTCTTGACTTTCACTAGAGAGCTGCAGTAACAGCACAAATGACTTAGAAGGAGCATGGATATAAACTTACAGAGATAATATCAACATTAATTATCCAGTACATCTATTCAAGCTTACACCTCTTGAGTGCATTGCTCATATTTGCCTCAGTTCACTGTAAATCTCCCTTTCATTACTGTTCACAGCCCACAAGTGTGACTATTTTTATATATTCTAGAGGCATACATCTTTACATTAAAAAAAATGCTAAACACACCAAATGTCTAATGAACAGTTCCCTTTTATCTTTAACATATTCAAAGGCCAATATTTTAGTGCTGTAATGAAATAAAACCTTTTCTTGAACAGAAGTATGCTACACACTTTGATCATCACTTGTGTCTATTTTCAGCACATATTTGTTGACTGCTCTAGAGTGCATTAAAATAAACTAATCCTTTAGAAATTGTTTTTGGTGTTCCAATTATGATAATTAAAAAGATAGTATTCATGCTGCTTAGATGATATGAAGTGTACTTAGATACATTTTGAGACTCTAAAGGCAATGACACATACCTGTTGTCCTTGTTAAGTACCTATAATTAAAGGGGAAATTGACAAGCAAATGCAAAGAAAATTGAAAAATTATCCAAACTAGGATTAAAAAATAATTAACAACCATTATAAACATGCATAGTGGTTCCTCTAAGACACTGTGAATTATGGGAAAAGAGGAAATAAAGAAATAAAACTCATATACAGAGAATATCAGGAGTAAACTTGTATGATATTAAGATAAATTATGTGTAACATATTTTTAAACTCTGCTCTTTGTGGCACATCTCACCTTGATGCAACTACTTATTTCTCATTTGGAAATATTAACAGAATCATTGGTCATTCAAACTATCAATAGTTTAGTAATGAAAATGAAACAAGGCAATACCAAACACAAAAGTGTTTGCACTAAAAGACAGCAACATTTGGTACATCTAGGGCATATGCAAGATTTGCTAAATTCTCCCAAATCTAGTAATTTTTAAAATCACCTCATTTCTATTATCTATTAATTTTCTTTTTTAGTGAAACAAGACCTTTTCTTCCAAGTAACTGAGCAGTCAAGTTAGAAACATCCTGCCTGTATATGAAGATCACATGGACTTGCATGGATATCCCAATATTCATGTCAGTGATACAGATTGCAGGGAGAGATGAACTTGTAATCCTTCCATCAGGAGTGTCAGAGACCTCCCTGTGCTCTGAACACAGAAAGCAAAAGCAGCTGCCTAAAGCTCAGAAGTGCTCAGGACATCCACATTCCTCCTCCCTTGTGCAGGCACCTGACGATTGCTCCTTTTCAAATCCATGGGTCAAGGCACTGATGTTTCTTTTTCTCTAAACTTTTGCAAGAAGCCTTCAGTGACTAATGAAGTTTGGAGTTGCTGTAGTTCTGTTGATATCATCACACAGTACATTTCCATTTCCAAACTAACGGTCCTAATTTTTAGAATCAAATTTTGGAACCAGGGATTTTCCAGTTTGTGTAGAAACTACTTTCCATAATCAAATTCTATTACACATTTTAGAATTCTTATTTCTCAAATTCTTCTTAGTAAACTCACTTAGAAAGACAAAAATAGAAGACAATAAAGTTCAGGTTTCTCACTGAAGAGCAGGGGCACTCAAGCAGATGAAGAGGATATCTGGTCCATTCACTCATTTACAGGAGTGATCAGTTGTAGATGTGAAGGGACAGAGTTTCAGGCAACTACCTGTGAGATAATTCTTCTGCTAGCACACATTCCTACCCTCCAGCAGCCAGCAGCAGAGGGAACTGCCCTCCTGGACTGGGTTTATATCCCTCTGTTCTTTTGTACACAACAGAACACCCTCTTTTCAGTTCATCTGCTAATGCAGTGAGTAGCACAGACCCTCACAACAAAGCCCTCAAACTATTTGCCAACAAGTAATTGGTTCCTACCTCCTTTTCCTATCTCTGATCAGTCATTAATTTATGAAAGGACCTTCTTACTTGTGTCATGACAACTTTCAATTATTAGCATTGGGAAAGAACCTCATCAAAAGTGTTCTATAGAATAAAAGCATATGATCATATCAAGCATACTTACTTGCTTTCTGAATTTAAAAAAAAATCTCTAGTAGATTAAGAAAGCTTGATTTTTTTTTTCTAAAAGAAAAAGCAAAAACATCTCACATTCTCAGGTTCACTCTTCACTGTTATATGCTTATTAATTTTCTCTATTCAATCATGTTGTGGTCACAACCAGATTCCTTCACATAAAGACTAAAATGACTTGCTATGCAGATCCTTCTGAACTTTCTTTTGAAAAATAGGATTTGATACTTGCCACACTTATTCTTTCTGTGCTGAGGCCACTATAAGTCATAGGCTATACATCAAAGGTGGTTGTTTGGAAACTTTTTGTTTAGGTTCCTTTGAAACACCTGGGAGAATATTATCTGGTCCTTATATTTGTCACAGTTCATTGTATGAATTTCTTCTAAAGTCTCTTCTATTGACTTCTATTCTAAATTTTAAACAATTTCTGGGAATAACTTCTCACAAGAAAAAGCTCCAGAATTAGAACTTCCCAAGCTCCTTCAATGCAAAGAATTATCCTATTTTTATGCCTTAGAGACCATCCTCTCTCAGTGAATTTGACAAAAAGGTTTTAGTATTAGTTCTTATGCTCCTAGAAATTTGGTCTTCAAAATCTTTCTGGGCTTGATTTATCCCAATTTTACATCTAACTGGCTAGAGTTCAAGTTTAATTCTTATTCTCAAATTACTCTGGTTTCTAGAACTTTTTCTGAAACTTTTCTGAACTTTTTCTTTTGTAGAACTTTTTTCTGTTGTTTAACTGGGTCTTCAAAGATGCCACAGTTCTTGTGGCATGTGAACAGCCCCCAGAACTTTGTACAGATTACTACTGAAAACACAGCTGCAAAGCAGTAAGGTAGCAGTTCTTCCCCACCAGCATTAATGGGAAATCAGTAGTGATGTGTCAAATGTTTATCAGCAACTTGTACCAGAGAATGTTCCTCCCACATCACCCAAGCCTCTTGCCCCATAAAAACACACCAGCCAGCAGTGGCAGACAGCACTGTGCCTTTCTCTGAATCCTCCCTCCTGTTGCACATCATTTTGGGGGCATTACATTTTTACCTCTCTCTCAGGTACGACAGGGTTTTGTTCAGAAAGAGCCACCTAAACCTTTTTCCTATTTGAAACAGTCCTAAAAGGACTGAGAGTCAGTGGCACTGTCCAAACTTCCAGGTCACTTGCCAGCAGGACAAGAAGACCAAGCAGTTATGGTAGAAAATACAATCACCTCTACACCCTGACTGATGGGTTATGTTTGACAACTGCCTCTTTTTTGCCTCCTGACTCTTTTAGACACAGTGAGTGTGACATTTTCAGTGGCTCCAGCCTCTCATCAGTTTTCTCTAATGTGTCATGGCAGAGAGGCTGGGACAGCTGAGCACTGCTCAAATTTTAAAGAACCCAATATGAAAGAAGGTGTAACAGCAATAGCTCTCATTTTATTCTGAGCAGGCTTCCTCTCCACTCACACAAAACCTTTCTAGCAGCAGTGGTGGCTGGAGGAAGAGCAGCTGTAATGCTTCAGGGGTACCTCAGAGCTGTGACCACCTCAGCCAAGTGCTCCCTCAGATAATCAACAAAAATGTGACTGCCTAATTATGGCAGCCCTCTAATTAAGGCAGAGCTATCTAAATCTATCATTAATTTTAATCAAAAGAACTGCCTAATTGTTTTACATGCTTTAAAAATAAAATCACTTAGACACCAAAAAATTTAAGTGAGTGGTTTGAAGGCAGAACTGTTTACAGAATTGGTAGAAGCAAATATCAGCAGACTAAAATTGCCAGTCCTCTGCTGTACCTTCTTCAGTGTGATACATTAATTTTGTGCCTTTCTCTCTGTACCAAAAGAGATTCAGGAGAAAAAAAGGGGAATCATTCAGCAATTTTTGAGGTCCTGACTCTGGGGACTGAGACCGCAGAAGTGGTGGCAGCCACTTTCCAGACCAAAACAGCACAGAAAAACAAGGTAAATTTAACATGCAAAGCTAATAAGAACAAAGAGAATTGCCAGGGTAAAGGTAAAACTGTTGCAGACAGACTAGTATAGAATTTTAAAATCTGCTATAGAATTTTAAAGCCTGTTAGAAAATTTCAATTCAAACCTCCCTTAAAGCAAACACAGGAATGAACATCCAACTCGTAACACATCATTGAAAAACTCAGCTGTTTTACCTTATTTGTGTCCACACTAGAACATACGCTGCCTTAAACCAGCCAGTAACAAAAATTAGAATCAGAGAGGTAGCACTGCACATACAGGTAAGAATTTTCAGATAACTACAGATATCACTCCTTGTCCTTGAAGGTATTGAACAAATCCACTGGATATTCCTTTTTATGTTTTCTGGTCTATTTCACAGTCTTCACTATTCACATTTATTGTTACCTATCTGTCAATACTAGAGGACAGAACTGCTATCACTGTGTATTTATGGAGATGTGTGTACACGTTTTTGCTACAGAAAACAGAAGATAAAAATTAGGCTTTAATAAAGGTGATTTAAGCTATCATTCACAATGGACAGAGTACAAACCACACACATACACACACACACTCTTAAGTCTCACAGCTGAACTACCAGGTTTGAACTTTTAATTTTCAGTCACAAATAACACAATAAGTACAGCTGTTTTCTGAAGCTTGATACATACTTTCCCAAACAGGCACTTTATAAGGAGGCTCAGAAGGAAGATACTCACTGATCTGGTTTGTAGATGCACTATAAAAAGCATTTACAGTAGTTGGGCTTGTAAACCACCTGTAGTAAGAACAAAAGAAATTGTCTGTCAGTACATTGGCATTCACCTTTGTGAATCAAAGGAGCAAAGACAAAAATTGAACTCAGTAGAAGAAAGTAAAAACATTAAGGACTTAAGATACATTAAAGTTTAAGTATTTCTCCATTTCAGTACATGCTACCTACACTTTCTAGAACATTGAAATCTATTGTTTAATGGCTTTAACTGTGTACAGTCAATAAATGCCCAACAGGAGCAATTCTTAGTGTTCTTATCATGTGATCTGTTTAATTTTTAAGTGGCCACTGTGCTTGTGAGGCCAGCCATGCTGATGAAACAAAATTCACCCAGAAGAGGCTGCAACACGGAGAGCAGCTGTGAAAACTCTCCTGGGTGTCTTTCAAACACATGTGGAGGAACTCCATGTTGAAATTAGAGGAGAGAATTTTGAAACAAGTAAAGTGGCTTTAGAGGCTTTGTTGAACAACTACTTGAAAAATTAGGATTATGCCAGCAACATAAACAGATAATTTCTGGGAATGTAAATTCAAATTAAACAGCTTCATGCTCTGTACCCTATGCAGTGAACATGACCATCCTAAACAAATAGACCTCTTGCCAGGCATTTCTTCTCATAGTTTGATTTCTCATATATACTGGAAGAAACCCAAGATTTGAATAGCAGTTGGACTTGGTGATCCTTGTGAGTCCCTTCCCACTCAGGATATTCTAGGATTCTATGAATAGCAAATGAATCTTCTTAGCCTAAGCTCATCTATATTGACAGTGGCTTCAACCATATGAATGGAAAATCTTGACTGACTTCAGCAAGACCCAAATCCCCTCAGATGAAACCTTGAGTTCAGTGAGCCCAAAATTTCAGTTTGTGATTTTTATAAGGGAGAAATTAGGTTAAAAAAATAAAGATGATGATAATTAGAGGTTAGTTCATAATAACTTAGAAGCAACTCTAGTAAGTGTTCAAACAGGAACATCCTGATGTCATTAGTAAAATATTACTCAAAAGTTTTATAAAGCCATGTGAATGCAATGTAATTGTTTTGCAAAATTTATTTCAAAGAGAAGAGAAAGAAGCTGCAAAAAAATGAGTAAGATCTTTCCAAAGGAAGATCTATCAGAATATGGAAAATGTATGATATCAGTGACAATGTACACACAATTCAGGCTTTTAAATAGCTCCATTAATAAAAGAATCATCTGCAGATCCTGACTGTTTTTCTGACAACTCATGTCCTCACTTAAACCATATAACAAAGGGGAGAGTTCAAAAGTGGCAGCATTTTGTCTTTTATCAATAAATTTAACTGCTTGTTTTATTCTCCAAGCTGAGCAGCTTATTTTGCAATGCATCAACTAGAAAATCTAATAAATGAAGGCTAAGAGTGATGTCATGTACATATTTTAACCATCCATTACATTACAGGCTCTAATTGTCAGAGATAACTCTCCCTGTTTTGTTTATTAGGAGACTGTGAAGGGGAGGAGCAGGGGGAGGTTGTTTTCTGGTCTATTTTCTGCTTCATAATAATGAGATTAAATGTTAGAGGTAATGCAGTGAGGTAATGGAAAATTGAAGAAAGAATGTATATGGTGAGGGGATAAAGAAAAAAAATTAGGGGCCTAATTAATACATTTCAATGTCATGTTTGTTCATAGCAGCAATCAGCTGAACTGTTTTGAAGGATGCAAGCCTGCCACTTATGCCTTGGGACCTGCACTCTAGGCTCAGCTATAAATCTGGAGGACTGTCCCTTTTTTGACAAGGAGAAAACCCATCTGAAAGAGTCAAAACTTCAATTTATATTTTACTGCAAGTTTGAGCAAAGACACAGTGTTGTGACTGGCACCTCACCCTCTTGGCTTGTTCTGCTTATAGTGGCCTTTCTGCTCTCAAACAGCAATTTTTAAGCATGAAAAAGGCTTCTGGGACAGAAAATGCTCCCTTTTTGCAAATTCCTTTTAGCCTTTTATTTCCAGTCAGAGGATCAAGGGCCTGAGATGTGTAACAGATACTTCAAAACAGATTAATGTGCTGTGGCTCTTTACTCCATCTTCTGGGGGGGATTACCACAACTAGCTGCAGAGAGGAACCACCACAAGCTGCAGCAAAGAGCTCTTCACTGACTAGAGACAGCTCTCTAGCAGCACAAGCTTTCACTTGTTCTTCCTGGGTGAGCAGTGGTGATGCAAGTGCTTGTCCCCTCAGGAACAGCTCAGTCTGCCCAAGAGCAGCAGTGAATGCTGGTGACATTTGGTCCACATTTACTGAGGGGACTTCACACCATCCTCTGGCCATACTTTCATACCTATGAACTCACAGACTTGTAGCTTGCAGGTGAAGACACATCACAGCATCCCTGTCCTGAGGCTGCTGCTTTGCTCATGATCTACCATCACAAGAGCAGAGCCCATCCTGTTTGCTGAGCTTAGCATGAGCCCAAGGCTGAGAGCAGCTTTGATTTTCCCACTGCAAATCTGAACTCAGTTCTTTCCAAGTTGCTCCATAACAAGGCCTCAAGAATGACCCTGTATGGAATTCATTATGCTTTTAAGCAGTTAGGAAGAGGACACTTAGCAGCCATACTGAGGAGTCAGAAAGAATGAGAGTCCTCTAGTAACAAGCAGAGTATTTAATATTTGACATTTGGCAAGAAGCGTATGTCTAGTCCAGCATTTTATTGTACCATTCTGAGCCCTCTCAAAAAGGTTTAGGAAGTACTTTCCACAAAAGAGTAGCAATAACCAAGACTACTTCCATCTAGATTAGCAGAACAACTTCACTTCTCCTCTGCCATGCTCTTTCAGTGAGCTCCTTGAAATGACTGAACCTAAAGGGACAGTCCTTAACTATAACACACCAAATTAGAACATGAAGGTGTTTAATAAATAGCTGCTGCTGTTAAATTTTAAGGTGGAGCAAATCTAGAAATAACTCTCCCATTCCTAGTTGAAGTCATATTCCCTGAGCATTTGCTCTAGGTCTGGTTACAATTTCTGTGGGCTTTATCTACCCACAGAAGGATAGAGAAAAAAAGAAAGGCATTACACATTCCAAGCTCTTATTAATTTCAAAGTAAATAAATAAAAATTCTAGAACTGTTTTCACTTGCTATAACTTTGTGAAAAAGGGACAGCTTTGAATGATGTCCTGTAGCATTACCTATCTACTACTGCAGCAGCCAAAACTTAATTTCTGCAGAATTGACACTTTTAAGGTTGAGATTTCTCTTGTAGAAAAAAAATGTGAAATGCTCCACTGAGATAGCAAGTGGGGCAGAAACTCTCTTAGTCTGTGTTCTTGAGGCTGAAATTTCCTCTGTGATATTGTCTTTTTTCGTTAGGAGTATAATGTGCTACATTGCCATTCATGAACAGGGATAGTTGGGAACATTTACAACACAGAAAAAAGCTTATTAGTTTATTTGATTCTCTGTAAAGCACAAACTGAATTTGCAAATTGATCCTCAGGTTTTTGAGTTAGAATAAATAGTTTGGTTTTCTGTTCAACATTCAAAGTAAGAAATAAAAAATAAATAATCATATAAACATAGCAAATTAACTTGTGAATATACTTGAGCTGGTTAGAAGTGAAAAGCTGTACAAAGTTTCTGGAAGCTGGAAAATGTCTTCCAAAGAAAACACTATGAGGAAAAACTTCTATATGGGAGGCAACCTTCAAGGTGACTTTCAAAATTGCATTTTCTTTTCTCATAGTTAGTCACTTTTATATATTTCCCCATGTAGAAACAGATTATTATCCCAGGCCAGGCTGCCATCTATCTCCCTTAGGAATGAGCAAGAAGCTGGGATGGTAAGGCTGGGTCCAGCCTTCAGTGCCACATCACTGCTTAAAATGAGGTTCAAAGACCAAGAAAAGGCTCCAGGAGGTTCCTTTCCAGCCTCTCCTCTCCAGTGCAGGTCCCAGCCACACAATTTCCAGCAGCATCTCCCCAACAGACAACAGCCTGCCCAGTGTTCTTGATGGCTGCTTTTCCCTTTTTGCTTTTACACCATCCTTAGAGGTATCCAACCCAGAACCTCTCACAGCTGCCCTCCCTTGTGGCAAACCAAGAGCCAGGGCTTACACACAATAGTGTGTGGTCATGAAAAACAGAGATAGGTCCTGGAGGAGACCCCAGAATCCTCTCATAGCATCCTTCCTTTGTATCCTCTTATCAGGATACCAAACACCTCCCCAGCTCTGAAAGTCTAGTAAAAAATGGAGAAAGATTTGGCCAGGTCTAAAAATCTTAGATTATGTTCTGACTTCAAAGCAGAAAGATAAATAATAATGAAGTGATGTGGCCAAGAAGTCCTCTGATGCTTTGCTTTTTGCAAGTATGATATTAGTGTTAAGGAGGACAGATTCTATCTCTGATTAAAAGGTGCAGGCATGTGTTTGTACACACAAACACACACACATGTATATTCGTATGTATGAATGTGTGTGACTCCATGGATGGATAGGCAAACTCAACTAAAACCCTGACTCTCCTTAATTTTTCCCATCACCATCACTTCCCCCTGTACTGCCTTTCACTTTCCTCTGCTCTAGCTGTATCTTACCTGGCTTATAAAGATTGTCTTCACACCTGGTGCCCATCCTCCCTCACTGCCCCTCCCAGACTCTCCACTAAGCCCTAACCTGGGCTGGTTTGTGCACCACATTCCTCAGCTCCTGCACAAATCCCTTTCATTTTGCTCTCTGCTGATACCTGAGCACTTCTTTTCTTGTTGGCTAGAGCCAGCTGTGAAGGTGACAGTCACCTCCCCAGCCAGCTGTGAGGCTGGCAGCTGGCACCAAGGCTGGTGTTGAGCACAAGTGACACCTCCCAGTGCTGTGGTGTCCTCAGGACTGGTGGCCCCAGGACTGGAGGAGAGGCAGCTCCAGCACCCCGGTGCCCTGTCACAGCTTTCTGGTACAGTAGGGCTGGGTGTGGCCCATCACCCATGCCATGAGCTCATCTGAGCTCATACTCCCTTCTCCTGTCAGGCACAAAAATGCCAGGGATGGAGGGAACAGAAGAGAGAATAAAGATTTTTGATAATTACTCCCGATTTAGGGGTTTTTCCTTTTTTTTTTTAAATTAAAAGTTTTTGAATTTCCAAAACAATTCTTTTCCACTTTGCTATCCATATTCCCCCTTGTTTTATCCAACTGCTTTGCCTTGTATCTCCCATCTCTGTCCATCCCCTGATGGTCTTTCCCTGGTGCTTTGCTTGAACTATCATTTTAATTTCACATTTAGCTGAGGAAATTTATTTCAGTTTGAAGTAATTATTGAGAAACATGGACTGTCTGCTAAAATAATATAGTGGTTTATCTTTTGGGTGTAATATTATTTTAGCAACTTTTATTTTATTTCCTTAAACACTAATTTTCTTATTTATCTTTTTTTGGTCCACAACTTTGATGATCTTATAATATCTATCTCTAAATATAAATGTTATGCTAAAAGTTACTAAACTAGGGAAAAGAAGAAATGAAGCAAATAGAAACAAAAACCCAAGGGTAATTAGCTATTAACATAGCACCAAGCCTCATCAAAAATTCTGTGGAGTTATATGAAATGTAAAAGTTTAAAAAACAAAAACAGAAAAATGAGAGGAAAAAAAAGAAGACAAAAGCATCAGAAAGCAGTGGAGTATGATGATGATTTTAAAGTGGGAAGTAGCTAAAAAGTGGCTGATATTTTTGAGGCCAGGTTTGACATGCCTCAGACTGGTAAGTGGGAGTTATTGGTTTATTTAAATAAATTTTTAAAAAATTACTGGAGGCAGAGTGACACCACTTTCAGAGCCCTTTTCTATCACTGAACAGTTGCAAAGACAGAATAATATCCCAGCAGGAGCCCCAATTATCCCTCCCTGACGGGGCTCGGGTGGAGATTACCTCCAGCCCGGCAGAAGGCAGAGCAAAGAGCTGTGCTAACAAAGGGAAGGCACCAGAAATCAAACTGACATCCCCAGGCCTGAATGTGCTCTGAGGGCTGACAAGAGAAGAGCTACCAAGGTGATGAGGGGCTGCCTATTATGTAGCCCTGGGAATAAGAAGGCAAAGACAGGCCTGAGAAGGTGTTCAACTTGTACAGGGCAATTGGATAACACTGTCAATTTTTAAGCATACCCAAGTGACAGCTCTTAGACTACAGTCCTGGCTGCCCACCACTTGATTTCCTTTCAGGGGAGCTTTCCCATCGTGCCAAGAGTCTACAGGTTCTGCATCAGTGCTGGCTGCCCCAGGGCTGAACATTGCTACAGAGAGGCCAGGGCTGTGTCACTGCTCTCCTGGAACTGTTACCCTGAAGAGAACACACCATCATGGTCTATCCTGACATCCAGGAAAATCCCTAAAATCATACCCCAGCGTTGGCCAGTGCAATGTCAGAGAAAGCTGTGATGAGAAGGTAAAATTCACAATTAAATCTAAGGTATAAATACTGCCTTGAACACACAGGGCCAAAACAAAACACTTCAACCATGAACAACCTTTGTTTGCCCCCCAGCCTTACAGACAACACTGAGCCACCCCCAGAACAAGGCATGGTTCAGTTTGAGTAGGGCTTCTGGAGTCCTAAGGAAATAAAACCACTGGAGCTAAGCACTGGCACTGATTTCAAAGTCTGTGTGTAGAAGAAGTCATTTTTAAGTAGTATGATTAGACTAATTAAGTTCTGCTTAGGTTTTAATTTGCATTTTAAGGATTTGATTACACACCAGTAAGAAAAGAGAATAATTCTCTCATGTATTTTATGACAGTTTGTGACATAATCTGCACTCTCATGTTTACAAATAAATAAAAATAACATACGTAGATTAAATTAGGTTTCATTCTGTACCATTACTATCAACTGCAGGTAAATAACAATGCTGATTTGTATTACTAATAATAGCATTATCTCTTACTATGATTTCATTGCTACTGAATTTATTTCATAAATCCCCACTGTACCATTTCAAACTCTAACTGTGACCAAGAGACATAATCCACTTTTAATTGCAATTCAATTACCCCTTTTTTCATTAAATTAAGTTTAAGCTTCAAGCAGGTGACTACTCTGCATATGAACAGGGATACCTGACCAAAAAGAAAATTCACAGAAGTTTCTGAATAATGGGAGTTTGCCCATAGGCTTTTTGTGGCATAACATATTGCTGTTTATATAATTATGTTAAAACTTAATATATAACAGTATTTAATGCATAAATTAAATAAGTTAAAATATTGTTAGAAGATTATGTAAATTTGCCTTTTGTCTACTCACTCTGTTTTTGGAACTTCTTTTCTAAGCCAGTAGAAATCAGATTGAGCTGCGTATTTGCGAGTTTGCAATACATTGCCAAAATAATCACTTTCTGTAAACTTCAGCTGTTCCAAGAAAGCACAGACATTTTTAAAGCATGTCCAAAGAAACAAAAGCTGACATAAAACAAGTAGAACTTTTATTTTATATGAGATAATTACCTAGTTTTTTTGCGATTATCAAAGCAAGTAAAATTTTCACACTTGGTAGAAAGAATAAATATTTTATGAGCTTAGTTTAAAAAAACAGTGGCTGAACAGATCTGCACAAGGGTCTGGAACACTGGGAAAAACTCTTCACTGTGCTGAAGGAATCATAAGCACCCAACAGTGGATTGCAGACTGCACATTTCCATAGCTATTATTAAGAGAGCCTCTTTCCCAGGAGGAAGTAGGCTTACTTTTATTTTTAAAAGTGCATTTTAAAACCATTTCCAACAATGTAATGAAGTCCCTTTTTCAGTTTGCTTTACATTTTATAAAAAATACTTCATATTCTGTGCCTTCTGAGAATTCTACCATATTAAATATTCACAGCCATAGGGCTCCATGCTTCCATAAGTTTCCAAATCTAATAGCATTCACACACACAAAACTAAACAGGCAAGGAAAAGGGATGTAATAAGTATTTTCACCCGGCACTGCCACTCATCTGAGCAAACAAGGCCATATACTGAGTGTTAGAGTTGGTCACATGCTCTGTGTCATTGCACTGTTTTCACTGCATCATCTCACCCTGCAGCTTCCCTGGACAAGGACTAGGCTGGTGGAGTTGGCTCTCTCAATAAATGATGCCTCTGTTTAGTGTTTGTTCATCTGGCGAAGATGATGATCGCTCTTGTGTTTTACTGCTTCAGGATGGAACTTGTGTTTCTAGTCTGCCCATGACTTGCAGTGATACAATTCATCAAATGCACACCACAGTTGCAAAATAATAATAATAATAATAATAATAATAATAATAATAATAATAATAATAATAATAATAATAATAATTTGCCTTCCTGCCTTGGTTAGGAACAGGTACTGGGGTAGGAAGGAGTCTCTCCACAGTATCTTTGGTCAGCAGGACATGTATAGGCCTATAGCACAATAGGCCTATACATTGGATAGGACTTCTTGGCATGATTATAAACACAAATTGTGAATTAAATTCACAGCCTGGAGATATGAGGACAACTCAAATACGGCATCCTTCTGAGGTAAATTGCATTAGGCTTTTTGAAAATCATTATTTTGAGAAAAAATGCTTTTGGTTTATTCCATTTTTATAACTAAATGCAAAATTATTACATTGTGTGCTTAACCTTTAAAATGCTTAAGAGCAGGAAGGGTTTTTTGCACCCAGGCAGACTTTACTCCCAGCAGACCTCATGATCTCACTTAGATACAACAGCATTGACTATTTAGATACAATTTAGAGCTAGCACACTTCAAAAATAAAATAAAAATAACCAGGCAAGCACGAGTCCAAACAAAAGACTAGCTTTGACTTTAGACAGCAGCAAAACAGATCAAAGAATGGCTGCAATGAATGAATAAAGCTGCAAGCCTGACACTTACTGTTTTGATGTCTTCATTAATATATGTGTCATTCATTATAAACTGAGGGTAACCAACTTTCGCCATAACTGCTTTTGCCTTTGAAAAAGAAAAAGAGAGAAAAAAGGTTTTGGCAGATAAAACCACTTCTCAGCATACAGCTTTTTCTTTCTTGCTCAGTTCCCATTTGGTATTATTATGCTTCCCTGGAGCCATCCTAATGTTACTTCAAAACAACCTGCCTGCAAGGTAAACTTGGTGCCACAAATGAGCTCGGCATCACAAGGCAGAGGGTCCAGATTCTGCTGTCAGATTATCACAGTGGGTCTATCACTGCCTGCAGAGCTCTTGCGTACTTACAGCAACGTGTCTGAGTGCAAAAGCTTAACAGCTGATTTTCCCTACAGGGCTCTGTGTTAATCAGATGGTCAAATGCCTGTTTGTACAATGTTTTCCAAAGGACAACAAGAAATGGCCTGTTTCTCTATGGCCCAGTAGCTGGTACACATCCAACTGCTAAAATAGATCTGATGCACAGATGTGAATCAACCTTGATCCCAGCAAGTGCAGCCTGGTGATTCCACTGAGGGCCACTTCCATCTGCACCTGAGGATGGGTCCTTTTCTGAAGGACACTGCACTTTCTGAAAACCACAGGACTGATCTGTGTGTAATTGTCCAGTTTCCTTCCTTTACTTTGAAGTCTTTGCTCTTTCCCTAGTGCCAGGAGAGGTGTTAAAATAAGACGCTTCATTTTTCATTAATCCTCTTTCAGTCGTGACTTGGTCCCAGCATTTATGCACAACCTGCACAAACAGTCCAGTGTGAAGTAACTGTAGATGAGTATTCCCACTTTGTAAATCATGGTGTGAGTTTATAAACAGCTTTGGTAATATCCTCACAAAAACACCAGCAGGCCACTCAGACACCCAGAATCTCTGTGGAAGCAAGATTCCAGAAGAAAAGCAGAAGTAGACAAAAAGATAAGATGACACACGAAGAAGTGAAATGTGACAAGTCCATAGGATAAATTACAGCTATGATGGACTAGGTTAGCACAAAAGATTAATTTTTTTATGTTTTCAGGATGCTGTATATAATTTCTCCATAAATCTTTGGAATTTCCTCCACCCCTCAAAAAATGTGCCTCAGTGGTCATCAGACTCCAATGTCAAAACTCAAATGAATATTGCAAGATGTGAAAAGCAATAAATAATTGGCCTTTAAACCAAGTACAACTGTACCAACCCTGCATTCTGCTCTCTGTGAGCAGAGCCAGGACCTCTCTAGGGTCCAACAACTTTTATTTCCTTTTTGCTGCAGGGTCTGACTGCTTAAGGGAAGAGTCTCCTTCCTCCACATATCACTTCCCCTTCTCCCACTTCACAGTATTTCCATACAGCAGGGCCTCCTATACAGCAAGATATAAAACCAGCTGTTCCACAACTTTAAGAAGAAAGGTGATGGAGGATTGCTGCCATTTAACCAAAGTCATTCTCTCTCCTCTTTTATTTTTCAAGAAGAAAGGCCTCTTTTCTTCTTCAAACTCCTTCAATTTCTCAGTCTCACTTCAAACCCAAAGTCATAATCCTCCATTTGTGACATCACAATTAATTGTGGTTGAGATAATGAAGATGTCACAAACAGAAGATAACAACTTCAGGTAGGAAATTAGCAGCAGGAGCAGACAATCTCTTAAGCAAGAAAGATCCCATTGTCATGCAAATTGCCCTAGTAATAAAAAAAGCAATGGAAGAAAAATGCTGAATGGAAAATATGAAATGAGCCAAATTAACTCTCAACAGAATGTTTCCTCACTTTGCCAGAAGGTTCAGCAGTCTTTCATGATATTTTAAAGGCTCTGGTGGGGAGGGAGAATAAAAAGCCAGGAAGGGAGCAGGATTCATCTGCAAGTTTGTATGTAATCAAGAATGTAGAAATTTTTCCTGGTTGTGTTGTCAGGTCCAACTGACTGAACTTCGCAAGGAAACAGAAAATTTCCTTTACCATTTCCCATGTTTTAATACTAGTTAAAACTAGCTTTGTAAAAGGAAAAAGCAAAACTCAACAGTTTTAATTTCTGCTAAGTCAGCTACTTAAACAAATTGGGTGGATCTCAAATGTTCTGCATGAGTTCATCATTTGCTTTCTGACTTTTACATTTGATGTTGTGAGATTGAGATTTCTAAGCATGAGAATCAAATAGTCAGACGCTATGGAGATTTTTTTATAACATCTATATAAAACCCTAGTAAATAACAGAGTGTGTCTTGAGATTTTGGAAAGCAACCTCAAAAGGTAATACTGCTTTTAGTACTTTGATGCTTTGTCAATATCTAAAGCCGTCTGTATCTGGTGAGATAGATAGATAGATAGATAGATAGATAGATAGATAGATAAGGGAGAAATGTTATATTATTACATTTGTTACTTAAAAGACATTACCACAATATGTGTGTTTTAGAGATCTGAGCAAATAAGACAGACAAGGCTGATGCTGACAGTGAAGGATGTTTGGCTCCTGGTTAGGTAAACTGTTTCCTGCAGCCAAAGTAAAACTCATGAGAGAACACAGGAAGTTTTCTGAAGTCCTTGGGAATCCTTCTGACTGGGATTCTTCCTAGAAGCTTTGCATCAGGTGCAAAACTTCTCAGCTGAGCCCAGCACACAGCACAATTTATTTACACAACTGACAAGTTAGAGAGTATCATATTGAGAACAGGTTTCTAAATTTGCATGTTGGAAGTCTTGTTTCTGTGCCTATTTTTTCTGTTCACTTGCGTAATATTTAACAGCAGTTGGGAGATTCCTTATTTATATAGCATAAGGAAGTGGAAAACTCTTCTACAGCTTGCTTACTCTTTGATAATGATGTCATTATTTTCCCCTTGATAGGATTAAAAGTATGTATAAGAGACCAGCCTTCCAGGAGGCAAGCACGGGTAGTCAAATGAAACGTGACAAATGTACAGGAACCAGCCATGTGGCAATTGCACATGAATCCACCATAAATCCACCATGCACAACTTTTTGATGGTTTAAAGGCTCATTTAACTCCTCTCTCTAATTTGCATATTAAACAGCCTGTGTGCAGGAAGAAAAGAGGCGCTGGGGTACTTCCCCCAGGCATCATTAAGCACTCAGCCTGAGTTGGGCTGTTGGGTAAATTAAGGAAACTCATTGCTGCAGGGTGCTTTAGGGTAAATCATGACAACTCTTTTCTATACCAGCAGCAGAGAGAGCAGGCTCTGAGGCAGAGGAGCCAGAGTGGGACTATTTCCACCACTCCTTGTGCATGGAAGTTTTCCCACTGACTTCAACACAGCCAAGATTTTGCCATCAGTGTCTTTCTGTCACAGGGAGAGCATTGTGAGTCAGTTTACTACACAGACAAAATAATAAACAAGCTTTCACTCTCTGCTTAACAACCTGCCAGTGTGGGAATGCAGACGTGTTTCGGTGCTCCAAGGCAGCCCAGTTTCCAGCCTATTCAAATTCTCACTTGACAACCAAGCATGTGAGCATCCTGTGAGCCTTTTTGCCTCTCAGAGTATGACTTGGATATTTTTTACAGCACTAAGCACTGACATATTTTACTTACTGCAAAAGAAAACAAAACAAAACATATATCTCACAACAAAGTTTTATGAGTCTGAGAGAGATCTGTATATTAACTTGACTCAATAACTTTGTGAAGATAATTTTTAAGCTTCTAAATATATTAAAAATTTAATACAATTACAGTTCACTGAAAAATTAGCATGAAATACATTGTGAAAGCTAAAATCATTCATGGCAAAGTAATGTTCCATTTAATTACAAAGATTAATTCAACCTTTATATATGTGCCCAGTCTTTTCATTTTTCATTGAGAGCAGATGATTCAAGAGCCATCTGGTAAAACTGCTGCATAAATATCACTGCATCTATCTAGGATTTACATATGGAAAAAAACAGGAAAATAGCGTGATGGATCTTGGCAAAACACAGGAAAGTTCCATCACAGGACTAAGGCCCAAGCCTACAGATGTCAGTAGGAAATCACTACTGACTTGAGTGAGAGATGGATTGAGCTCACCCTAATGATGCACAGTATTTCCTTTGTGGGAAAATGAAATATCAAGGATTTTCACATTGGCAACTACAATGGAACGTGAAGTGTCAACTCAAACATGAACACTTGGCCTGAAATGACAATTTTTAACAGTACTTGATCTGCAGTGAACTGATTAATCCGTACTCAAGAATACAGATTACCATTATTTATTTTTTAAAACTTGGCTTAACTGTCCTCTATTTGTTGCATAACTGTCTTCATTTTGTTTTGTCACAATAATAGAAGCTGTGTAGACTTTTCAAGAACTGGTGTTTCATTTAATAACAATTCACATACCACCACTTCACACTGCACCATAACCATTGCCTCTGTATCACAATAATAGTTTTGAATGTTCTAAAATAATTGCTAAAATAATGAAGACAGAAAACACAGCTATCATTCCATCTTTGTAATAGCTTGAGGCCAAGGTCAAAGAAAAAGTAAAATAAATAATCAAGTGACTTATGTGAATAACGACACCCATGTACGCATAAAATTGCTTTCAGTTAAATACAAAAATACAGTTAAATACAAAAGGTTTCAAAAGTAGCTGAGTTAATTTAACAACTTTGTGCTGCCAAATAGAAAAAAAACTCCCCGTCCTTGTCCTTCTTCCCCACTCCTCTCAGCTCTGTCCATAGTTTTTCTCATGCTGCCTGCACCCACAGCCTCCAAAGCTGCCTCAGCTCCTCAACACATCTTTCTGTGGGACCACTTAACACACCAATAACACAGTAGAAATTTAACCAAGCTTGTCCCTAGCTAATTTTCTGCCAGATCACTGAGCTGAATCACTCACCCACTACATGGACACCCAACAAGTTCTGGAACTTTTACAAGAAAAGTGGTAGGGACACATGATATGACAAAGTGGAGAAGGGTTATGTGGTACAGTTGTTACCTCTTCCTCTGAATTATCTTTTGAAACCAAAGCCTCACTCAGAGAAAACTTACTGACAAGACAGTACTATTCAGTACACTTAAAAATAGCATACCATACC